GTCCTTCTGTCCAAGGCACCGCCTGCTCGTGGGGTACCTACCTTGTCCCAAGAACACTGCTGGAACACCTTCCAGATGGCCCTGTTGGTGGTGATGCTTCCCCCTTGTAAGCCAACTTGATTTTTAGAAAATAACTAAAACATATTTGGGGCCAGGCACAATGGCTCACATATGTAATCCCAGCACTTTGGGAGGCAGAGGCGGGCGAATCACTTGAGGTCAGGCGTTCAAGACCAGCCTGGGCCACACAGTGAAACCCCATCTGTACGAAAAATTACTGTGCATGGTAGCGGGCACCTGTAATTCCAGCTCTTTGGGAGTCTCAGGCATAGGAGTCGCATGAAACCAGGAGGTGGAAGTTGCAGTGGGCTGAGATCACGCCACTGCACTCCAGCCTGGGCGACAGAGCAAGACTCCACCTAAAAAAATAAAAACAATTGTATTTGACACCAGGTCCAGTCATGGATGAACTCATGGACTTAAACGTTGACTAGAGATGAAAAATTGCTATGTGGGTCGTGAGGCAGCGTCAGGCTCTGAAGGCAAGTTGGCAGAAGGGGCAAAAGCTTTTTGATGAATGGCAGCAGGATTGGAAGAGGCACAGGACTGCCAAGAATGTGAGAATCACAGCTTCCTTACATAGAGGTGGGGCCCTTGTCTGTGCACGTATGTAAGGAGATGTCTTATAGTCTCTATGAATTCCCGCAATAGTGTTTATCGTTTCGGGTTTTAAACAATATTTCTCATTGTATTTCATCACTGTAACATCTCTAAGGGTGCCATCATGCTTTAAAAATTCATATTATGGCCGGGCGCGGTGGCTCAAGCCTGTAATCCCAGCACTTTGGGAGGCAGAGGCAGGTGGATCACGAGGTCAACAGATCGAGACCATCCTGGCCAACATGGTGAAACCCCATCTCTACTAAAAAATACAAAAAAAAAAATTAGCTGGGCATGGTGGTGCGTGGCTGTAATCCCAGCTACTCGAGAGGCTGAGGCAGGAGAATTGCCTGAACCCAGGAGGCGGAGGTTGCGGTGAGCCGAGATCGCGCCATTGCACTCCAGCCTGGGTAACAAGAGCGAAACTCTGTCTCAAAAAAAAAAAAAAAATTCATATTACACAAATGAAGAAATTGAGGGTTCAAGCACCACATAAAATTAATTGTAAAACCAAGGCTTTGTCAGGCCTCTGAGGTAAGCCACATTATGCCCCTCGACCCAGGGACAATCCATGAAGCAAAGGGGTCCACATTTAACTGTCCTAATTTTTAGTACAGTTATATTTTTCCTCAGTATAATAGCTTTATATTACAAACTAAGGGAGGGAGGGAAGGAAGGAAGGAAGGAAGGAAGGGAGGGAGGGAGGGAGGGAGGGAGGGAGGGAGGGAAGGAAGGAAGGAAAGAAGGGAGGGAGGGAGGGAAAGGGCAGGGAGGGGGGGGAGGGCAGGGAGGGAGAACAGGAGGGAGGGAACAAAGATCTAGCACTCATTTTATGTAACTGGGCATTTTACATGGGGCTCTGCATTAGTCAGTTCTCACACTGCTAATAAACACATACTCGAGGCCAGGTGCACTGGCTCATGCCTCTAGTCCCAGCACTTTGGGAGGCCAAGGCTGGCAGATTACTTGAGGTCAGGAGTTTGAGACTAGCCTGGCCAACATGGTGAAACCCCATCTCTACTAAAGATACAAAAATTACATGCACACATATGTTCAGTGCAGCACTGTTTACAATAGCAAAGACCTGGAACCAACCCAAATGCCCATCGATGATAGACTGGACAGGGAAAATGTGGCACATATACACCATGGAATACTATGCAGCCATAAAAAACGATGAGTTTGTGTCCTTTCTAGGGACATGGATGAACTGAAAACCATCATTCTCAGCAAACTGACACAAGAATAGAAAATCAAACACCGCATATTCTCACTCATAGGTGGGTGTTGAACAGTGAGAACACATGGACACAGGGAGGGGAGCATCACACACTGGGGTCTGTTGGGAGGGGCAGGGGAGGGACAGCAGTGGGTAGGGAAGTTGGGGAGGGATAACATGGGGAGAAATGCCAGATATAGGTGATGGGGATGGAGGCAGCAAACCACATTACCATATGTGTACCTATGCAACAGTCCTGCATGATCTGCACATGTACCCCAATTAAAAAAAAAAGATTAGATCAACTTAAAAAAAAATTATCCAGGCATGGTGGCACACATGCGAGGCTGAGGCATGAGAATAGCTTGAACCCAGGAGGTGGAGCTTGTAGTGAGCCAAGATTGTGCCACTGTACTTCAGCCTGGGGGACAGAGTGAGACTGTCTCAAAAACTTAAAACTAAAACTAAATAAATAAAATAAAGGCATACCTGATACTGGGTAATTTAGAAAGAAAAGACGTTTTATGGACTCACAGTTCATGGGGAGCCCTCGAAATCATGGTGGAAGACAAGGGAAGAGCAAAGGGGTGTCTTGCATGGCAGCAGGCAAGAGAGCTTGTTAGACCTCATGAGAACTCGATCCCTACCATGGGAACAGCATGGAGGAAACCACCCCGTGATTAAATTATCTCCACCTGGCCCCGCCCTCGACATGTGGTGATTATCACAATTCAAGGTGAGATTTGGGTGGGGACACAGCCAAACCATATCAGGCTCTGAGTAAAGAGACAATGTGGTTGCTACTTCTAGAAAATAACAAAGCACACCACAGTAACGCATCCTTGCCTCCTTCAAAGCCATGAAGCGGGCTTGCCACTGTGTGTCCACGTTTTGTGGCCAAGACCTGGAAGCAGAAGCAGTCCCATGGCTCTGTAGGCCATGACACTGCTGTTGATGCTGCACACCCCAGCCCCCGGCTCCATCCAGTCCCACTCAGCCTAGTGAGATTTCCAGCAGGATTTGCTCCAGAGGCAGCAAGAGAAGGTTTGCATCCATCTCATTTTCATTGTAACATTTCACTTCCAAATTAACAAGAAGAAAAACTGAGAATAGTGTGTAGTCATATTTGGCCTAGATGAAGATTATTTATACAAAAGAACACTATAAAAAGCAAAAGAAGCATGGGATGAATGAATGTTTCCAACAATTGCAAACAAAAGCAGCATTCTTCATAATTAGCATGAAGGGCATGGGGGAAAACAGTCATTCCGGGAGACCTTACTTTTTCTTTCTTGATTGCACACAGATGAAGTGTGTTTGCTGAGGGAGTAAGTGCAGGGTACCCTCTGGCTTTGCCACTGCCCCTGATGTGGCCATGGAATCTGCAGCCACAGGCCCTATGTGGCTTTAGCACACATCCATCCCCATGGCTTCTCTTCAGCATCCGCCAGCATGGACTCAAAGACCAGTTATGACATCATTAAAAAATAAAAATGTTCCATGTGAAGCAAGGGCTAGGCACAGACCTTGAATTGTATTTAAGGACAAAAGTGAAATACATTTTTTTCTTACGATTGTAAATAATGCAGGAGATGACCAAATCCCATCATTATAAATGCCTGTCCCTGCCTTTGGGCCGTGAAACAGCAAATCAGGAACCTTGGTGAATGTTGCTAGCAAGACCTTTCAGCCCCAGGGCCAGGATGGAGAGCCGGGGAGGGCACGCTCCCTGTGGACAGGCAGGCCAGGCTCTAGGGTTGGCTCCTGTGAGGAGCAGATGGTGAGAAGAGAAACAACCATGTTTCAGACTTCGGAGAAAGGGAGCAGGTTGAAAGAGCTGGATTACAGCTGAGCGCCCCTCCTCCTGTGTTCACCAGTGTGCGCCTCCTCACCACCGTGTCCTCAGGAACTCCCCAAGACCACAGTGGCAGCTCCCGTCCTCCCCTCCTGGCCATGCACCAGCAGTTGCCTGTCTCAGGCCCTCACCTGCTTGCCACTGTTCCTGTCTTTGCTACATGGTCCTGTTTTGGGTCAAGTTATTAAGAACATTGATTAACAAGCAGGTGTGGAGAATAGGGGAGATGTGGCACTGTCGTCTTCTGGTTAACTGAGGCTCAATCTAAGGCACCTGGTTATTTAGTTTTTCCTGTTTAAAATAATTACTAAGTGTAGTGAGGTCCCTCTCTGGCTTGCCAGGAATTGTCTAGTGAATGTGCTGCTGTCTTTAGTGATAAAAGATCTTGTAAGACCACAAAGTAATCATTCTCAACAGTAGATCTCATTATAGATAGAGAAGGGGCAGGTGATGGAACTTGAATTAGCTGGCTTCTAAAATATTCTGGGATTCACCTGGGAATAGTCTTTTTGGGACATTAATTTTCTCAACACTTTCTTCTTCCTCTCAAATGTAAAATTGTATTTTTTAAATCTGGTTTCTGGGGGGCTCTGGGTGACTGAATGAATTCCCAGAAGCCCCCGTAATCCTTGGGTTAAGTAGAGAGTGGCACAGAACCTGTGGTATTTTCAGGTTTGGGCAGAATCAGGTGCATGATCCCTAAGATATCAAACCAAGTTCACCTGAAGCCCAGAGCCATGAACAAATTCCCCTAATTAGCTAGAGAGTGTCTCTGGGTATTTGTCTTCAAGGAGGAGGGAATTAGAGAATGGAGCCTTCCCCAGCCCAGGCTGGGATGCTTTTCACCCTGCGCCACTCTTCAGGGCCTCCCTCCAGCCCCTTTTCAGGTTCTTTCTCTGTGCAGCCTCCCCTGACCCCTCGCTGCCCACAGATATAGTTAGTTGTGCATTTGCCTGGGACTGCCATGAGAAAGTCAAGCCATCAGCTGGAGAGATGTGACCTCCAGACCCACGGAGCAGCCCCCGCCCCTCACCCCCAGGCAGCCACACGCAGTGACAGGCCACTCCCAGTGCCTTAGGGCTTATTTCGCAGAGGTGGTGACTGGGCGGCCCAGCATCGTTAAACTGGATTTCAGAAGCGCACAGGCTGCCTCCGTCACCACCGGCTCCACCCCATGTCCAGGGCTGGGGTCGGCCACCCCTGGGTACCCTGGCTTCTGTCGTGGGAGGCTCCTGCCAAGCTGCTTATGCTGCGTTTGGGTTCCAGGGAGTACTACATCACCATGGTGAAGTGGGCCACCAGCACCAAGGTCGCCGTGACCTGGCTGAACCGCGCACAGAACGTGTCCATCCTCACCCTCTGCGACGCCACCACGGGGGTCTGCACAAAGGTATGGGGTTGGGGGGAGGTGGCGGGGGCGTGGGAGGATGGGACGGGTGAAGAACCGATGGCCAGACGCACGCGAGGTGGCGCCAGAGTCGGCTCAGCCTCGGGCCTGCAGCATGGAGTCCTGGCCCTGGCGTGGCCGCCACCATGTGGCTGATGCCGGTGCCACCACATGGCTGATGCAGGTGCCACCACAGACCCACCGGACCCATCCGTGAGTGGCCGGCGTCACCCAGTGCCGGCACCTGGACGCCACCCTCAGTTCACTGAGTGTCGCCTCCCTTTACCCACACTCACTGCCGTCACCTAAGTGAGCGTCCTCCTCATTGCCTGATGCTCAAGAAGAGGGGCCCTGCCGTTCCCCAGACCCCACTGACCGCCTCCCCCAGCGGGCTTCAGGCCTGGTCCCTCCCCGACCCAGGCCAGGTGGCCCCGAGGGACAGCATCATCCCTGGAGGTCCTGGCGAGGCCAGCCATGTTTCTAGGAGTCTCAGGCCGATTCGGTGTGAGGTGAGTGGAGGTAAATGTAGGGGAGAAGATATGAAAATGCTCAAAGAGTAAGCAAAGGGAAAATCAAGTCTAATTGGCCGCCCTGGGGGAGCAGGCAGGTGCCCCAGGATGCTCACGCACACTCCATGAGATGGCTTCCGCCCCACTGCCCGGTCAGGGCCCCCAGAAGCAAGTCACCTTGTGGCGGGTTTTGTAAAAATCAAATAAAATCGATTAATACATTCACGCAGGACTTTCAGAAACTCCTTTTTTTTTTTTTCTTTTTCCTCAAACTCCTGGACTTAGGCAATCTTCCTACCTCAAAGTGCAGACATTACAGGTGTAAGCCACTTCACCTGGCTGGGAAAATATTAAGAAAGACTTAAAGAAGAGCAAACAGAGGGCACACGTGGTTAGGGCAGATTACTACGCAGTTTAAATAAATTCTGCTTCACAGTGGTGATCTTTACCTAGGGAAATATGTTTTCCTCTAATCCTCCAATCTTTTAAGTAACTACAAAAGAAATAATTTGTTCCATGCTTAAAATATCTGCCCTGGAAAAGCTAGTCATCACTAAAGCTAATCGGTCTTCATCATCATCTTAACAAGCGGCAGCTTGATGGGAGGAAAACATCCTTCCGTTAAGGTCAGTCTTCTACCAATTGGTTAAACTCCTTTTTAATCTCAAGTTTCTCTCTCCTGGCCGAGACTGGCCGAGGCTGGCACGCATATTTACTTGAGAGGCTCCTAACATGGCAGCTGCCACTGCGATCCTGAGCCTGGTGATTGGTTTCTGAGGTGGGCAGTCAGGTGCCTGACCTTCCATCTAACCTGGGGTGGATTCCAGGCTATTCTGATGAGCTTGCTTGAAGGGAAGGAAGGAACGAGAGAATCAAGAGACCCAAGGCAGGCAGCTGGGGATGCTTGCAATCTGCAGCTTCGCCATGCCCCTGAGCCTTGGGTGTCAGCAGCAGACGCTGCGTCTGGCTATAGCCCATGACAGGCCTGCTCGAGGGGCCGGAGGTCCAGCCTGCCAGCACCAGGCCCACGGAGTCTCCAGGCAATGTGTGTGCTGCACAGCTAGAGTTTGGTGTCTGGGGTTGCGTTTTTCTCTTGTTTGCTCCTCTCCACAGAGCGCTCTGAGACCTACTTTTCCCACATGCTTTAGCCCCTTTGAAAGGGTTTCTGGCACCAGGAGTGTTGCTCAGTGTTCCACACTGGGATCTGGACACAGCGTCCACACGTTCCTGACTGTGTGGTCTGAGGTTCGTGGTTAGATGGACACTTGCCCGGGCAGTGATGACCACCCCATGGCTCACATGCCGTTTTCCTCCAGAGGGTTCCTGCCCACCATGGGTTTGTCCTCATTGCCAGGGATAGTGGCATTTCTCATTCGAGTACACTTGTGTTTGGCTCTGAGCCTGGGTTTTCTTCCTCCCGGGGCTGCCATGGCAGCCGTGCGACGCTTGTGCAGCAACCGTGGAGGTGAAGCCAAATTGTTTTCTGCACTGTTGGTCACAGACACAATATATGCAGAAAAAACAAACAAAAAAAACCTCTTGTCTAATGCTCTTACTTCATTTCAGAAACACGAGGATGAAAGTGAAGCCTGGCTGCACAGACAGGTAAGTGCTGCACACCCGGGTCCCCTGTCACTTACACCCGACCCACCCCAGGACCAGGGCTGCTCTCAGAGCTTGGACAATAGCAGAATGGCTTCTCAGAGTAAATCACACAGGGCTCCCTGGACGGAAACAGATGGTGTGTCGGCTCTGCTCACGGTGCTTTCCTTCCTCCCAGGCAGCCCAGAGAACTCCCAGAGAATCTGAGTTCCAGGGAGGGCTGTGTGAAAATCTTAGCTCCTCAGAGTGTAGACGATTTGGTGAGACCTCAGCTTGCAGTTAGATGCCACATCTTGGTGAATTGAAAATGAAGAGTCTATAAAATGTTCTTTGACATAATCTACTATGTTATCGTCCCTATCTCTTCCCTAACACAATGGACCAGCCACCTTCAGCCTATCCCAGTAAAGCCTTTTGGCATTCCAAAAGGTTTGAGACTAATCTGTAACTTTTCCTAATATTTCTCTAATGTTTTGCCAGCCACCCCGAGTGAATTCCAGCAGGTAGAAAAGTGGCGGATATTCCCGTTTATTGCCAGGGGTGGTTTGGTTGGTGTCTCATTTGAAGTCACCTCCTCTGTGATTCAGTAAGACCCATCCTCAGGAACACAACTGCAAACCATCCTTAGGGATTCTTCCTCCCTAACTCAGATAAAGGAACACAAAATAAAGCAGACTCTAGGAACTAGAGACCAGAAGACACCAGCAGAAGCCTAGGTAAATCATTCTGAGACTTTTTAAAATTAAATTTATTCAAAAAGTATCAGTATTTTCTCTCTTTGAACCTTTTTGTCTCGTTCCGCACTCGGACACTAGGAAGAACAGGTGAAAACGCTTTGGAAACTTCCTGTCTCCTTATCCTTCCTAAGGGAATGGAAATTGTCTTAAAGACTGTGGGAAGAGTCAAACCAGACGTGGGTCTCATGAATTATGGTGGAGAGACGCAGATATGCTTCTTCATCAATACGGTAGATCCCATTTATGGAAAATAACTAAAGCTGAACAAAACTGTCACCGTAGCTCTCCAAGGACATTTCTAGCACCACAGCTGCTGGGCTGTGCCTCTGCCTGTGAAGTCAGTAAAATAATTCTCCCAGGAGTCAGGGCCTCGTCAATGGATGGGCTACTTGGAAAATGTATCCTGCTTCTGCGCTGTGCCAATCTTATTCACAAGAGGAATGGCTCCACGTGGCCACCTTGTTGTGCATGTCCCGACCTGGGTGCCAAGTCCCAGCCAAGAAGATATCAGGAAGAGGGAGGACTCGGGGAACCCTCAGACGTTAGCATGCTGTGAAGTTCTTGAATGCCACCTGGACCAAACATGGAAGCATACATATCAAAACTAGTGTTAAGATGTTCATCTCACATCAAATTGTCAGAGATTACAATGAAAGGATCATTTTAAACTCCATTATCTATATAAATGTGTTCGACCAATATTCATGTATCTTGCCAGGCACCATGCTAGATTGGGGATTTCAAAAAATGAGTCAGCTGCTATCACTGAGCCCACATTGTGCTGTGTGTCAGAATTCCATTCTTTCTTCTAGCTGAATAATATTCTAGTGTATGTATGTAGCATATATACTGGAATATTGTACATATGTGTGTATATTATATGCGTATATACATATGTATACAATATAGAACATATACTGGAATATTATTCAGCCATAAGAAGAACTGAAATCGTATTCCGGTAGATTACAGTTTGTTTGTCTCTTTTTGGACATTTGGGTTGCATCTGTCTTTTGGCTGTTGTGAATAGAGCATCTAAGAACAGGCACAAAAGGCTACCTTACTGGCAATTCCATTTATATAAAATATTCAGAATAAATGAACTCATAGAAACAAAGCTGAGCAGTGGTGTACCAGGGCAGGGGGAGTATGGAGAGGAGCAGCTTAATGAATGCGGGGTTTATTGTGGGGTGGTGGAAATGCTCAGGAACTAGGTAGAGGCAGTGGCTCACATCATTGTGAATGGACTCCATGCCACTGAATTATTCACTTTTATTAATATGTTTTCTTTCATGTGATTGGAATTTTGCCTGAATTTTAATGAATAAGCTGGAGCATGAGCACTCAAAGATGTTTTAGCCTAGACAGGGAGATGAGACGTCCACGTCACATCCATGGTGCGGGACACGAGGGTGATCCTCAGACATTCAGAAGCAGTGCGGAGGTGTTCTGACGTTGGCAGGAGTGGGAGCTGGGAAAAGCGTGGAGGGCACGGAGCAGGTGGCCCTCTGCTAGGCCCACTTTGGGTTTGAACAGGAGGAGGTGAGGGACATGCTTAAAAGAGCAGCCTGGCGGATTCTTCGCTGTGGGCAGTGAGGCTATGGTGAAGCACGGTGGATGTGCCCACTGTCTTCCCCTGTTGCCCTCAGGCATTCTCATGGGGGGAGCCGGCTTCCCAGCTGACCGCCTGTGGATCCGCTCTCTGGATGGACAGCAGAGTATGTGGTCCCCGAGGCCCATGGGGACTGTGGTTCTGTCCTGCAGGGCTCACTTCATCAGCCCTGCAGGGTGGCTGTAGAGCCAAGGTCATCCGCAGGAGTTTTCTGTATTAGCGACTGTGTATCTCATCGTCCATGTGCGAACAGCTACCAGAGCGCAGGGTAAGACAATCTGAATGGGATTCGGAAAAGCAGATCCTTCCAAGCAAAATCCAGCCAACACTTAAAAGGTAGCATGAATTAAAATAATTTTTACTGTTTTAAAATGTAAACTTTAAAGCATTTACTAAGCACACAGCTAAATTTTAAAAATAGCTGCTTAAACATATGTAATGCCGTCATAAGTTGGAAATGTAAGTTTCTGTGACAGGTGTGTTTTCCTGGGATAGGGAGTCCCTGGGTCAGGCCAGCCCATCAGCTGCAGTTGTGACTGTGGTGCTGGGTTCGGCGCACCCTGCCCATGGCAGCAGTTGGGAGGCCAGGATGTATCTGAAGACCCCACAGTTTGTGCGTCTGTACCTGTGAAGATCAGAGCTCCATGGTCTGCAGGAAGATTTAATTTCAAACAGTTTCTCACAACATTTTTTTTTTCATAAAGGAATTCACGGACCCTATTTTTCAAAAGTAATCCATAGTGTTTCTGCATCTCTCAAGATACTGTGAAACCCTGAAGAACAACTTCGTAACGTTCTAAGGCTGGACCTGCCACCTGCTGCCATTGAAGCCGTTGGCTGCTGCTTCAGACAAAGCTTAAGGGGGTTTTCCTGGGAGGGCTGCAGGCACGAGTGAGGGAGACACACTGAGGCTGCATGCCCTGTACCCATCCATCTCCAGTGGGTCACAGCAGCTTGCCCCAGCTGGCCCAGGAGAGACAGGAATCTGAAAACTCCTGCAGACCTCAGGGAGACCCAGCCTGCTTAGGTCTACCAGGCTTCCGAGGACCCAGTGCAAGAACAGAGGTGAGCTGCAGCAAGCCTGCTCATTTGGTGTCATCTGAGCCATGCAGCTTCCTCTCTTCTCTTCCCAGCTCCTTCCTGGAACCCACCATATGGTTACCCACAGAGTCCCCATGAGCCAAAAAGAAGAGGCGAATGTGTGTGTGGAGACCCACCAAGTTCCCTCTCCTCTGGGAATATTCCAGAGAAACAGGCAATGCCTTCTGCCACATGCACACCCCCTCCCTGCTGACTGGACCCTGCAAAGTCGGTCCTGATGCAGACCCACGAGGGTCCTCTGCCAGAACCATCTCCGTTTGGCGTAGAACCGCAGAGCCTATTGTTTTGGTTGAAGGATAAGTTCTATGGATCAATTTCTGACTGTCTTTCTTCTTTAATCAGAATTTTGGTTTTATGATTTCAAAATTTGGACTGGAAGGGGGCGTGGTTGGACAAAAGTATTATCTCTGAATCATGGAAAAAACTGGCAAAAATGCTACCAACAGCTCACGAAGAAGCTCTCATCAGTCCAAAGGGCTCCTCCTCTTCAGATCTGCTGTGATTGGAGTTGAGGGAACCAGGCACTGTGTTAGATAAATTCTGTGATCCAGAGACACTGGGAACACTTCCCCCAAAATCAAATGAAAGATAGAACCAGGATAAAATCCAGGTCCCCTGGTCAACGGTCATTGCAGTTTGTCACTCAAAATACATTTACCACATGAGAAATCGGTCTCGGAGAGATTCGAAGGCTTCCCCTGTGTTCCATGACGAGGTAGAGATGACATAACGATGGTGCAGGCCTTCTCATTACAAAAACAATGCTTCTGGCCGGAATTAATTATTACGTTTATTTCAAGTATTTTTCTCTGCCAACCATGCAAACATTTCCCCCAGAAAAGTGAGGGGATGTAGCCCTCCCCGCCCCACAGTTGGCAAATAGGAGTGCGTTTTAAAAGCCAAATTAGCTGCTGGTCTTTCCACTGCTCTGCTTTTAAATACCGTGCTTCCAACTCTAAATAGAAAAATAAATGTTTGCAGATGAAAGGTTTCATTTTATTGCAAATATTCATGAAGATTAAATGTCATTTTAATCACATGCTAGTTTATTTCTCTGGGCACATCATGTCTGCATGTGCTCATTCACTGTGGGGAAATGAGTTTTCCTTGTGCCAGCTGGGGTTTATTTACCATTTGTTCTCATCCCCGCACTCGTGTGAATTTCCTCGAGTCAGAAAATACATGTTGTAACCAACTAATTGATGTTCACGGATGGAAACTTTCAAACTTGAGCTTCCTAGATGTCAAGGTACTGCAGTAGCAAAATCCCTTCTGTCCATCCAAGCGACAGCCACCCTGGGGGTGGGTGGAGGCTGAGCCCTGCCGGCTGCTCACTTCCGGGGACCAGGCAGAGCCGGTGGCGACACCTGCCCTAAATCCAGCCCGGAACCTGTGCCCCAGGGAAGACTGGGAATGCTGGTTCTGTTTCCAGGGAAAGGTGACCGTGGATTCAAGCAAGCGTTGGATCTGTTGAACCCATAGCACTGGTCCTGGGGTTTCTTTTCTTTTTTTCTTCCTGCTTGATGGTCTATTCAGCATGAGATCCGTTGTATTAAATAAGAAGAAAAGACAAGATTGAAAGAACAGATTTTGTTTTTAGGCAAGATCTGGTTTGTGATTGTTCAGAATTATGTTTTCCTCTGATATGTAATAAATGCCACTGGAGAAATCTCACAATACACTCTGGTTTCAAAGGGCAGTCATCTGAGACCCCCTTGTGAGTCTCGAGAGCAGAGTTCCTGTTCTCGCTGGTGAGCATGGCGTGCACACACGGCCGTTCTTTGTCTCTGCGCTGTGTAGACTGAGGGATGCCTTTTTAGTTGCCACTGCCGAGGCTGTGGCCTCTTAATTCCTCATTTCTTCTTCTTCTAGAAAACAGAACAGTTGATTCATGATTCCCAAGGAAAGTATCAGTCCCACCAAGCACTTATTCTTTCAACTATTTCTCTTGTGAGAAATCACACAGAAAATGTATCTGGGGGTGTACTTTACCCTGGTTCAACCTCTTCAAAATAAATGTTTTAGTCATGGGTTCACCCATTGCCTTTGTCCACAGAATGAAGAACCCGTGTTCTCCAAGGATGGCCGAAAGTTTTTCTTCGTAAGAGCGATCCCCCAGGGAGGACGAGGGAAATTCTATCACATAACGGTGTCTGCGTCCCAGGTACCTCCTGCTACTTTCCAGGACTAAACTAGAAACTAGCCTGCTAGAGGACACGGGGTGACAGCCTCTAGGGCTGGGCACACTTGCCTTTTTGAGGATGCTGAGGTCCCCTGGGACTCAGAAACTAGAAGGTGAGTCCAAAAGGCAGGGCAGAGCATGGTGCTGGGGACCGCGGAGGTTTCCGTCAGGTCTGGTGGAGCCTTGCTCTATCTGGTCACGTGCAAGAGTGTGAAAGACACTTCTGACAAGGTCAGCAGAGACCCTGGGGTCCCCTGTTCAGTGTAAGGCCGAGGACATTGGAGGACCGTCTGTGCTGGGGGGGGACCCTTTCCTTCTCCCTCTGCTGGGGGTCTCCCGGACATACTCCCCCCGAGGCATGGCTCCATGCACTCAGCGTCCCTCAGGGCTCCAGCCTCCCCTGCCGCCCCGTCTCCTCTGGAGCTGGATGCAGGCATTTTTATTATGTGGCCACTACCAGCTGTTGCTCACTGATTCTGGGGTCTGGCAGGGCAGGAACGGAGCATCCCTGAGTAGGGAACTTTAGAGATTAATATACATGAATTTAGGACCAAAAGTAGACATCCCGGGGTCACAGTCCCCCGCAGAGGTCACCTCAGGGAGCCTCATGCCTGCAGGATGGGGCTGCCGTAGTGCTGACTTTGGGGGACTCTAACCTGAGGAAGAAGGGAGGCACATTCTTGAAGCTCCTCAGTTTGAAAACGGTCTAAAGTTATTTGGGATCAGGGTAGATGAATGAAACGTGATTAGAAAAAAGGTTAATCACAAATTCTATGGCTATTAAGTAGAAAGCTCCTATTTATGATGAGGCACCAAAGGCAATTTCAAGGGAAAAAATCCAAGAACATTCCCTCTGAGAGCAGCTCTGGTGGAATGAGGGCGGGGCTGCAGGGCTCCTGGGATGGAAATGGCATCTCTGAGAGGCTCACATGCCGTTTGTTCCCAGGGCCCGTAATGGCACAACTGACAGAATGGCTGCAGGCTGTTTCTTTTGCTTTTTCCTATGCTCTTCATTCTACTACCCTACATTCTTTTGTTTACTATTTTAAACCATTTAGATCAAGATTTTAAAATGCTGGCCGGGTGCCTTGGCTCATGCCTGTAATCCCAGCATTTTGGGAGGCCGAAGCAGGCAGATCACCTGAGGTCAGGAGTTCAAGACCAGCCTGGCAAACATGGTGAAACCCCGTCTCTACCAAAAGTACAAAAATTATCCAGGCATGGTGGCACATATCTGTAGTCCCAGCTATTTGGGAGGCTGAAGCAGGAGAATTGCTTGAACCCAGGAGGCAGAGGCTGCAGTGAACTGAGATCGCACCACTGCACTCCCCTGGCTGACAGAGTGAGACAGCGTCTCAAAAAATTTAAAAATACTTTGGTGTTTTCATTCAGCCCCGAGTCTCTGTATTTGTCGAAGTTGCCGTCATCTTCCCAGAGCCCTATGAAACCTTCCAGCAGGAAGCGGGTCTCCTGCACCACCCACGAGGCACCGCCTCCTGCAGGTCCCCAGGAACCCCTGGGGAGGGGGCCCCTCACAACCTTTCCTTTCCAAACCTGCTTCAAATTCCCCAGCCTCTCCTGTACCCTCTCTGTACCCCCAGGTCTTGCCACCAACCCCCAACCCATGTTAGAGTCAGCAGCCCCCAGGGTGTGACCTCAGACCCTCCACCTAGTTTAATCTCTCCTCACTCTGTGCCCACCTCCCAAGGCACCTGCCCTCCAGAACAGCTGCCCAGGGCTGCACCTGGAAAACACCACACCCGATTTCAAACCCCACTGAAGCATCGCTCCTGCCTACACGGCCTGTCTCTCTCTCCTGTTGCGATCTCTTGTGTAATCATTCTTCTTAGCTCGGGAGGCGCATAGGGAAAGACAGTGCATGCAAAACATGTCGTGCAGCAATACGGGTCCAACCATCCTTGTCAGCGGCAGCAGGGAGCGCCCTTCCTCCCTCCATTTATTCTATTTCCCTGCCTGAATTCATTCACCTCCCCACATTCATCCCTTTCCTCCCTCCATGGTCCCCCTTCATAATGGCTCCACTAATTAGATTCACAAATGAAAAAGGCCTACGAAGCATTGATTCTCCTCCTGAGATGCTTCCATCATGGTTGGAGGCCAGCCCCAAGGGATTCGCATCACCCAAGAGGACAGTGCGCTGTTCCCCACTGCTGACATGGGGAGTGGGGGAGGCTGCAGGCCTAGGGTTGTTCAGGGAGCTTCATGAAGGATGTTGCCTCCCAGGAGAGGAGCAGGCAGAAGGGGCAGGGAGCCCTTCCCACAGAGAGAGCAGCAGCCCCTGTCACCTGGTGTCGGAAATGGTGGGAGGATGAAGAGCCATGCTGGGACGCTGGTGTCATCTCCTGATGCCATGTCTGTGTGTTTCAGCCCAACAGCAGCAATGACAACATCCAGTCCATCACCTCCGGGGACTGGGACGTCACCAAGATCCTAGCCTACGACGAGAAGGGGAATAAGATGTGAGTGAGAACCAGGGGCCCGCCCCATCTTACTGGCCAGTGGGACACATTTGTTCGTTTTGTCAGTTACGCTCATGGAGTGCAGGAGCCCGGGGTTGGGAGGGCTCCCCTTTCCTCCTCAGGCAGCATGACTAGCTCCTAGTGTCTTCATGAAAATGTCATGTAGATTCCCGTCTCAACAGCCCAATCTCCAGAGCTGCGGCGTCCTGAGGACGCAGTGAGGCTCGCAGCCAGCCCGGAGTGAAGCTCGCTAGCAGCAGCGGTAGGGGTGGCCCTGACACTGACTGAGTCTTCACTGGTCCAGGTACTAGGCCAGGTGCTTTTCAGGAGTTATCTCATGGAATACAACAGTTCCATGAGGCGAGTTAACTGCTTTCCCCATTTTAAAAATAAGTAAATGAAAACAAAAAGAAGTAATTTGCTCCAGGTTATTCAGTTGGTAGCAGGTGGATTTGGCTCAGATGAGGGAGGCCCTTTCCCCTCCCTGCCTCCAGGGTAAGAGCCAAGGTTTCTGCATTGGGAGGTCTTAGGTGAGAATGAATCAGCAAGTATTGATTGGGCCAGGCTCTGTGTCTGAACCTGTCTTAAATGTTCTTAGACCCTTGCCCTCCAGAAAGTGAGTGATCTTGTAAAAAAAATTCCATGTCCAGGCTGGACGCCATGGCTCATGCCTGTAATCCCAGCACTTTGGGAGGCAGAGGCAGGTGGATCACGAGGTCAAGAGATCGAGACCATCCTGGTCAACATGGTGAAACCCCGTCTCTACTAAAAATATAAAAAATTAACTGGGCATGGTGGCACGTGCCTGTAATCCCAGCTACTCAGGAGGCTGAGGCAGGAGAATTGCCTGAACCCAGGAGGCGGAGGTTGCGGTGAGCCGAGATCGCGCCATTGCACTCCAGCCTGGGTAACAAGAGCGAAACTCTGTCTCAAAAAAAAAAAAAAAAAAATTCCATGTCCACATTCGGGTGCTTGTCACCCCCAACCACAGTACCCTCTGGCCATGAAGCAGAGGCCAGTGCAGGGGGCACCTGGAGCCAGTGGAATCTGCACTGGTGTCCCTCAGCCCTTAGGTGTCTGGCCATCCCCTGCTCTGGCCACAGGTGTAGCTGGACCTGAACAGGGGAGCTACTTCCTGCAGGCCATGGGCGGCAGTCCCTGAGGAGTCCCCATAGAGGTAGTGTCAGGAATGTGAAGTGCGGATGGGCCCTGGAGCAGACTAACCCTGTGCACCTTGCTGATCTTTGCAGCTACTTCCTGAGCACGGAGGACCTGCCTCGGAGACGACAGCTCTACAGGTAGCTCTGGCTCCCCCACTTAGGAGATATCTGGGCTTTGCAGAATTGCACCTTTCCAGCTGTTCAGAAAGGCGGGCAGCAAAGACAGACCCCACCACAGAGGAGTAGCAGTTTGGAGAGAAGTAATGAAACTTGCAGAGGCCACCAAAGGGGTGGTTTTGAGATTTCTGAGGCTTTATTTTTCTGCTGCTATTGAGTTGGGTTTTCCCCGTCAGCCACTTTCCTCTTCTGCTAACTGACGGACTTTTACCCGTCTTTCCTTTCCACCTCTATTCAGTGTCAACTCAGAGGAATTCTGTCCCCCTGGCAATACCCACTGAGTTTTTGTAGGGAGCAGAGTCTGGTTTGGAAATGAAGAGGAGGTCGGCCCTGCTGTCCGGCATTGCAGCTCGCAATGGAGGACTCTGCCCTGAGGAAGAAGGGGGCACGATCGTGAAGCTCCTGAGTTTGGAGGCAGTGTGAAGTTATTTGGGATCTGGGTCGATAAATGAAATTGATTTTAAAAAGATTAGTCAAAAATATTCTATGGCTATAAGGTAAAGAGGCTTGTATTTATGAAGAGGCCTCAAAGGCACTTTCCCACCTCAACAGCCCAACTGTGCAACTTTGGGCGCGCTTCCAAATCTCAAAGAGCACAGGGCTGTGTGCTCTGAACCCTGGAGGGGACTGGGTTTTTCTTTAGGGCATGTGCCTCTCCAACGTTCAGGCCTGTCATATGCCCAGTCACTGTTGTCACTGAAGGAGGCTTTGGGTTGTGAAGTGAGATTAGCCCTGGGCACTTCCTACCAGGGCCACAGCGGTGAGGAGGGGGCATCTGCTGCCTCCCCGAGCCTCTGTGTGGGAGGGCTGCAGCCAGTTACACCTGAAGCCACTGAAGAGGCTGTTCTTCAGTGCAGACCTGAGGCTCGAGGCCAGCGGTGCATTGTCTAAATGGAGCCAATACCTGTTACCCCACCCTCTGTGGGAACATTGGAAAGCCACCCCCTGCCCCCGGTGAATGCAGCCTCCCTTCCAGCCATTGGCACCTACAAGGAGAGGATGAAGTCAGCATAAGGGAGCCGGTGGAGGGAGAGTCACAGATGTGCTTCTCTGTGCAGATGGTCCATTGTCACCATGTGTCTACTAGGAAAATTGACATCCACATGTCACCAGTTAATAAAAGTCAGGGGCTGCCTGAGGCCCTGTCCTCTAACTTACAGAATGAGAAGTTGTCTTTCTTCTCTCCCATGAAATGTCTTTAGTCCTGCAACAACAGACTTCATCCTGAAAACTGCGGTTAGAGGAGACCTTCCCAGGGCAAAATGTTCAGATAAGAAATTCTTCCAGGTAGATCCGGTACCGTAGGATCTTTACTTTCTAGGGAGCCTGTGTTAGGCCTTCTTGACTTGAAATGACACTTGACCACAGTGGTCCCGGGTAAATCTTCAAGCTGGCTCCCGCTTGTCTAGCTCCACTGAGTGGGAAGCGCGACCTCTCAGTGGTTTCACTCTGTCAGGGGACATGGCTTCTGGAAGCTTCCCAAGTTCAATCCCACTGGTGCTGCTGGAGCCCGTGCCTGGTCACGGGCCAGCTTTGGAACTCCAGAGAATCTGAAGATACATCACCCTGTCTGCTGTACTCAGATTGCTAGTCACCCACTCAGAGAGACGGGACACATGCAGATAGAGTGCTAGACCGTAACACTGACAGCCCTGTGCTACTCACGCCAGGTCACCTGCAGAGCCCAGAGAAGGCAGTGTAGGCGACCATGTGCCAGCCTTCTTGAGAGTGGGAGGGACCCACTAGCCAAGAAAGGTGGAAATGGAACTGGGCAGTCTCGGGCTCCAGCAGGGAGGCAGATGGAGAAAGGCCCGGGGGTGAAGGAGGTCTGTAGCAGGGGTCTGCAGAACACCCTCGTGGTGAGAGCCTGCCAGCTTGCTGCACCCAGAGGGGAGGGCAGCTCCTCTCCGCCCCTGTTCATGGTTCATGGCAAACCTTCATCGTTTGCTCTTCCAGTGCCAACACGGTGGGCAACTTCAACAGGCAGTGCCTCTCCTGCGACCTGGTTGAGAACTGCACCTACTTCAGTGCCTCCTTCAGCCACAGCATGGAGTTCTTCCTGCTCAAGTGCGAAGGTAAGCCCCTGCCACCCTGTCAAGCCTGTTTCAGGCTGATGCGGAGAGTCCTGGCAGGCACACTTGCAGGGACATGGCGGCGGCGGTGGTGAGAGCACAGTGTGTTCCAGAACAGGTGGGGATCCCACCTACCTGATAACATTGCTCACAGGGCCAGATGACTGAACCCCACAAAGCCTGGTGCAGTGGGGCTACTCTACGTTTCATAAAGGTGTCCAGCTTATCAGAGTGTTCTGTGCATGCCGTGCCGGTAATCCCACAGTTTGTCTCCCATTGTCCGCAAAAAATAGTCCATGAGCTAGGTTGGGGAAATATCCTACACAGCCGTGAGCCTAAGCCATTATTAAAGGTGGTAAAACAATTTCTAAGGTTAACCTTTCAATCATATTTAAGGATGATTGAATATGACCAGGTGTGGTGGCTCACATCTGTAATCCCAGAACTTTGGGAAGCCAAGGTGGGCAGATTCACCTGAGGTCAGGAGTTCGAGACCAGCCTGACTAAAAGGGTGAAACCCCATCTCTACTAAAACTACAAAAGTCAGACAGGCGTGGTAGTGAATGCCCGTATTCCCAGCTAGCTACTCGGGAGGCAGAAGAATCACTTGAACCCGGGAGGTGAAGGTTGCAGTGAGCCGAGATTGTGCCACTACACTCTAGCCTGGGTGACAGAGTGAGACTCTGTCCCCCAAAAAAACGATTTGCATTATATTAAAGAAGTCTCAGAAAAAATATTTTTTCTATGTCCCAATTCATTGATGATTTATCCCAAACTTCAAGAGTCTTTTCACACCAACCAGCATACACAAAAGAGTAGGCCATGTTGCCTACAGGATACAAAGGATACTTTTGCTTCTTATCCTGCATCTTGGAAAGATACAATATGAACCCATGGAAAGGTAAGTAATCATAAATATGGTCATAACAAAATATGATCTCCTGTGATGAACTCAAGGAATGAAAATATGCTACAGGCAGACATTGAGATCAGGAGTGGTTCGGTCCTCAGTTAGAGTTTCAATCCCCTAAGCCATAGGTGGAGAATTCACAAGTCTTTGCTGCCTCTGCTGGCTGCTGGGAGCTCATGGCTTCATGACTTGGTTCTCTTTTTACCAGTGTCATCTAAAATCTTGAAATTCCGCAGAACAGGAACACTCAGCCTCTTGCTCAATACAAGCTCATCCCCTGACATTCTTCTAAGACAGTGAGGAGACCACAGAGGGATGGGAAGGGCATCTGAAATACATTAGTGCCCCAGTCCCCTCAAAGTTGATGGTACCAAATTCCTCTTCCCTGTGCCTCCGAAGAAGGAGGCCACCAACTATCTGAAATCATAGAGTACTGTAGGGGAAAGAAGCTAAAATCTAATTGATCCACTTCATGTATCAGATGGCAAACCCTAAGCCAGAAGTTGAGTGGATTCCCTGACTCCTGATGAGCCAGTGATACAGAGAGGACCAGCCTCAAGGTCTCCCGGTTCCTAGCCCAGTGACACTTGACTCCCTGGGGCGAGATCCTTGGGAAATAAGAACCTGAGAAATTATAGGGATTGGTGGGGCATAGGGGTTGGGAAACATAGCAAGCAGACCCACTAGGAGCTAGAGAATCTTACAAGGAGCTACAAAATCAGAATCCAGAATCCAGAATCCTGTCTCAGAAGCAGGAGGCAGCTTCAACACACAGGAGGTCATAATGAAACACACAATTGAGAACTAGAAATAGATTTCAAGAAGAGTGCTCCAAGCAACGATGGTTGAATGAGAAAGGCGACAGGCCTCCATCGTGGAGGTCCTGAGTCAGGGGCAGAGGTCATTTACCAGACGGGCTTGGTCCGGCCTCAGCAGGAGTCAGAGCCTTTGGGATCTGAGGTCTGCACTGGCCAAGACAGCAACAGTATGGGTTTGTATTTTCTGGATTCTTCCTGTAACCAGCAAGAAGGGTCTGGCTGCTTGCCACTCATAGAAAGAAGTCAAAATAAGAATGGGTTGTAATATGAAGGAGCAGTATTTCTTTATTATCTGTGCCAGCAAGGGGAAGAGCAGAAAGCAGCTCCAATTTGTAGAGAAAATGCAGGGCTTTTGTTTTGTTTTGTTTTGTTTTGTTTTGTTTTGTTTTGTTTTGTTTTGTTTTGTTTTGTTTTAAAGAAGGGTTTGAAATGCAGAAGAGCTTCTTGGTGGGTTAGGAGGTGGCAAGGGTGTGACTGGCTGTGGTGGCCCCCCTAATTTCTGTTCCATTTGGTGTGGGGGCTGGCGCCATCATGGATCCTACGAGGTTATCAATTCATCACAATCAGTCTTGTAGCCACTCTTCAGCCATGAGTGGCTTTCAGCCTTGAAGTAATCTTTTGTTAGAGAGAGAATTCTGGAGGTATCTGGTTCCATCAGGATCTGACCCCTGGAAGTTTGAAGGAAATACATGACCAGCTAGGAGTGCGTGGTGTGTGCTCAGCAAGCATCTGGGTTAGGAAATGTGCATAAAGGAACACAGATTGGGAAGAGAAAGGGAGGGGAGGCCACAGCACATTCTGAGGCTGTGTTTCAGGATGAAAAGCGACATAAATGCAGCTTGTCTCAAAGTTGTGTCTTAAGACTGGGAGCAGGTAGAAGAGGAGATGGGAAAGCTGAACCTCGCCCTGCCATGGGGAAAGCTGAGCAGGCACTGGTGATGATCGCCTAAGGGATGAGAAGATCAATTGCTATGAAATCCTAAAGGAGAAAATGATTATACCCATTTGGATTGCTTGGGGCATTTTGCTGGAGGAGGAGACTCAAGGAAGTCATCAATGATGAGATGGCATTTAATATAAATGTATGAGTAGGATTTGGAATGGGAAGAAGCAGTCCAAGCAGAAGGTACAGCCTGAGAAAAAGCACATGAAATGTTCTTAGATTATGCAGTGGAATCTTTTGCAGCCTGTGAATCAGGATCAAGTGAATACAAGCAACCTGATTTAGTAAACAAGATAATTTAAAATAATTTGATTTTTCTCCACATTTCTCAGTAGATATTAAAGTGGACCAAGATGTGTAGTCTAGACCAACGTTTAGTCAACGCTCATTTCCTCTCCTGTTTCCTTCATACCCCAAGTTATTTTGAGAGAGTCTTGGAAACCTGTGACAAAAATAACATCTCCATTCCTAGCATTGGAGACTCTTGTTTTCTTCTCCTTCCCTCTTCCTGTAGCATTTTATTATACAGATTAACTTAGTCTTCCAGTTGCAACCAGAAACAAAGAATTCTTCCTTTTTAGGTTAAGGATAAATGTACTGACAATGAGAGGTTTCTCTTTGGTGAGATCTGTCAGTGTTCCCACATTCAAAGCTGTTCAACCTATCGCATACGGAGGGAAGTGCAAGTAGTTCAGGTTGTCTGGGCATAGGAAGGGATGATGATCAAAGGATTTAACAACTAGGACAATGTGGGTACCAACCAGCCAAAAGGCATGCTCCTGAGAGCAGATACAGGCTGTCAAACCATATTAGGACATAAGTGCTGGGTATAAAATCATGAAATTATAACTGCTCTGTTTAGACTTCATCATTCTTCTTGCCTTTTTGTGGGCCTTCCATTAGGACAGTTTTTGGTAAGTTTAGCTGATATTGACCTACCCTGTAACTTACATTCAGTATTATAACTTACATTCAGCAGTATAACTTTATCATCTTAGTAGATTTGGGCTGTTGTAGTAAAGAACTATAGACTGTGAGGCTTATAAACAACATTAATTTATTTCTCACAATTCTGGAAACTGGAAGTTTAAGACCAGGATCCCAGCATGGTTGGTCCCCGCAAGGGCCCTCTTCTGGGCCACAGTTGACCAATTTCTTGTATCCTCATGTGGTGGAAAGAGGGTGACAGAGCTCTCTGGGACCTTGTTATAAGCACACTAATCCCATTCCCCAGGGTTCTGGTCTTGGGATCTAACCGCCTCTCAAAGGCCCCGCTTCTAATACCATCACACTGGAGGTTAGGACTTCAATATATAAATTTGGGGGAACATAAACACTCAGTCCATTATAATCATAGCTGATTGTAGCTCATCAGCTGTTTGCAACCAGTACTTCCATTTCATTAGTCTTTGGCATGCTGATTCTCTCCTAATGTCCAGTTTTTCTTCCACAGTGTATTGTGTCTATCATCATTATAGAGTTCCATCTAGCAGTATCAACATGTGCTCTCTCTAATTTTTCATTAATATTTCTTCTGCATCTTCTCAATATTTGACATTTTTATGCTTATATATTTATGTTTATAATTCTTAATTCCTTAAAATTGTTGATTTTACATATAAACCTAAAAATTATTTTTAACCTAATAATAATTGTTAACCTAAATAATAATTATTTTCAGTTAATTACTTAATTTTTGACCATACATACAAACCCATAAATTATTCTTCTACTTTGCACAGTTACATTAAAACTAGATTTGAATTGAATGCATACATAAATAGAGGCTCAGAAATGCAGCAGGCATGGTGACACATGCCTATAATCCCAGCACTTTGGGAGGCTGAGGCAGGCAGATCATAAGGTCAGGAGTTTGAGACCAGCCTGGCCAATATAATGAAATCCGTCTCTACTAAAAATACAAAACTTAGCTGGGCATAATGGTGCATGCCTGTAGTCCCAGCTACTCAGGAGGTTGAGGCAGGAGAATCACTTGAACTCGGGAGGCAGAGGTTGCAGTGAGCCAAGATGGTGCCACTGCATTCCAGCCTGGGCATCAGAGTGAGACTCTGTCTCAAAAAAAACAAGAAAAAGAAAGAAAGAAAGAAATGCTTATAGCCCCTATATCCACTCACTGCCTCACTAGATCCCTTCTCTGAATGTCAGTATTGATATCTAAAGGGCATGGATTTCAGATGACCCCTGGATACCCATGCAAGGGATCAGCTATAAGCCAGACTCAGTGGAACCTTGTAGAAACTCAACTATCTACGTAATACAGAGAGTTTCTTTCCAACTCTCTATTGTCTGGAAGTGAAGCCAGCTATATTCA